CCAACAGGAAGTGGGAGCAGACTATATGCCACCTTATATGACGTTTATGCATGGGTTAGAACGGCCTGAAAGTCCTTGAGCTCCAAAAGAGCGAACAGCATGAAATTACTAAATTTAACTTTTACATAAATGAGCTTGAAAGAGAGTATTCGAACACACATCCATGGAGGTCATTAAGAAGTTCAATGAAGCCGCAAAGAGTTGTGGATTTAACTAACAGAGCTGAAGTGAAAAGAAGTTCTTTGACAAAAAATGTTGTACATAACAAAAAAATAAACCCTTACGACTACTTTTTACCAATTTACTCCAACACTCCTGACGCATACCAATTTGACACTCTCATTCAAAGCAAGAAAAGGAGGACATAAACCATTCCTCATCTTCATTAATGTTACACTCGTAAAGCTTTTGCGTATATAATGAAAATAAAGGAACTCGTGAAGTGTTAAGAGTTTTACAAAAGTTTGTAGCAGAACATAGCCAAGTACTTTAACATCAGACCAAGACAGTGCATATCTCAGCAATGAAATCACAGATTTTCTCATTAAGCATAACATAACTCACTACACTACTGAAGACCATAACCATAACATTACTCGGCATCATAAACCGCTTCATAAGAACGCTCAGAGATTTAAACCAAGAGCGAGACTTTACCGAAGAAACAATGAAACATTTCTCTCGAAGTATATAATTCCTCAACACATTCTACAACAGGGCATTACAACCAATTCAATGACACACAACAAGAAGAAAAGTATATACAAAAGAAACGAAGCCAAACACAAAATATCAGAAAATTCAACACAATTTTACCCTCATTCCTGGTACAAAAGTTCGTTGTAGTCTTGACGACAAGCCGTTGACAAAAGAAACGTTAAGGTTAAGTAGAAACTATTATATCGTAGACTCTACGCAAGGTAATGGATATCTTATAAAAGCTTGCCGACTCGATTGCGTTTTACCCTCGACATAAATTAGATCGAAAGTAGTAATGGCAAACTTGCTAAAACCATTGACGAGCAAAAGCGAGGAGTGGTTATTGAAATACTTGGCTATAACATAAACGATGACACTTATAAAGTAAGATATTGAAGGAGGCGTTGAAGATGTTATTACCATCTAAGAACTTGAGAGAGTCAAAGTCAACACATCTGGGACCATTAGAGCGGGAGTACTGGAAAGACAAAAATAAAGCCAGAAAAATAAGAAAATTCTTCTAAACTTTTTCATTAGATGTAAATCAGACATGAATGAGAAACAGTCATGATATCATTAATGGTACCATTTATTTTTGTCATAAATTTACACCAAAATATATTTTAGGTGAAGAGGTAGAGATCTCACCCGTTTTTTCACCTCTTTTTTCACCCCTATGAATTTTCATGAATTTCCTTAAGATAGAAAATAAAGTTAGTTTATTTTTATTTATTTTTTTTATTTTGTATGTAAAGATATGATTTCAACAATCGGCCACAACAACAATTCAAACAACTACAGCACCAAACTCGTTAGTTATGAATCCTACGTCAATGTTGGGAGAGATGAAAAACTTCATTCCTTCTTCATATACTTTCGAAAACAAAAATCCAGAAGATAAAGCAAAGAAACTGTTAACAAGTAATTTAGACTGTACCGCACAGGATGAAGAAAATGAAGAATATCTTTATGACATGCAGGACTCATCGACCATTTACCTAAACTACCTGAAATTCAGCAACAAAAAACTAACCATTCCCGAATTTGACGAAATTGAAGTCAAAGCAACTGACTCGGTAGAAATAAAGAAAGTTCATACGAAAGGTAAACTATGAGTTTCTAGGATATCATTGCAGCCATAAAGTTATGGACAAGATTGCGACATGGTTTATAAAAATATTTCTGACCTTTACAAATCCGAAGAATTTAAGACATACGACAACTTTGTTTCATTAATTGCAGAATGTGTATGGCAGATAAGAGATAAAGATAGAAGAGGTAAAGTATGGAATGAACAGATAAAACCAGCAGCTTTTGAGTTAAAGAAAACCATTGACGCCTTAGTTGTTCTAGCTGGTTTTATTTCAATGTATAACGCAAAAATAATCCGCAATGTTCAAAAATGTAAAGCAGCAATGAGGAAATATAACTACCCAGTCAAAGAGATAGAAAGAATGCGAAACGACTATGCAGACTTAAAGAAAGAAGCAGAAAAGCCAGCAGAAGTATAAAATGGATATGTTGACATTTCTTAATAAAAACTATCCAACAGCAGAAGATTTCCTTCTGTCTGACGTCAAGAAGAAATATAAAGAGACTTTCGGCATGATTAAAACATTCGATGTACTAAAAGAAGAAATAGAAGCTACGAAATTGTTTAGGATTTCAAATATACATCGTAACAATTCAGTTAAAACGCTTGTGAAAAAACAGGTGAGAAAACGGGTGAGATCTCACCTCTTCACCTAAACATTATTTTTGCTGAAAAATGACCAAATTTCATGAATTTCATAAAAGATAAAAATAAAGTTAGTTTTATTTTTATTTATTTTTTATCTTGTATGTAAAGACAGTAATGACAAACATTGAGTTTGAAACAGTTAGAAAGATAGACAATGACACCAAAGTGGTTAGAATAGGTGATTTAAACTAAGATACTCAAAGAAATACAACAAATATTCTTGTCAGACATTATAACACCTTCTGGAAAGAAAACAAAGGACTGGGTTAGAATTGCTTCTACTCAGAAATTTTGACAAGAAATCCTGAGCTCATGATATCAATAGCATTTCATGGAACAAGAGCATATCTTATAGACAAAAGTCTTATACCAATAGTTTTGTTATGGTTAGACCCAGTGTTGGGATATAACATTCATAACTTATGTTCATTCGATACGGAACGTTGCAGTGAAGGCTTACTTTACATCGTTCAGAAACCGAAGGACTTCAATACAAAGAGATATAAGATAGGAAGAACATATAATATAACTCAAAGATATGACAGTACAGTCAATAGAGTCAAGGTTGTGTCGTTAATGATATGAGAGCTGCAAACAAGAAACTACTTGAAGTTTTAAAATGTATGGTGCTCCACGAAAGGTAAAGAAAGTTTGAAGTAGATGAGATAGATAAAGCTATAAAATTATTTGACGAAGTTGCTGAAATACATGTAAAGCGTTTATTTTTGGTCTTTTGTGAAAGTCAGAAAATAAAGTTAGTTTTTATTTTATTTATTTTTTTATTTTGTATGTAAAGACAGTAATGACAACATCAGAGACACAAACAACAGTTATAGTCCATGAAGCTATAAATGAAAAATACGAGTACATACAGTATAACAAACAGTTACGTCTCATTCGTTCAGTCAAAGATGACATGTACCAAATGCAAAGTATATGAATGCTCTTCGTTCTACAAAGCAAGCATATCATTGGTTTGAAAACCAACAGACAAAAGAACTTTTTAGAAGAATTTCCTCATATGATTGCTTTGCAGAATGAAGAGATTTCGTATGAAAATCGCAAGAATTTGGCTCCTTGTTTGAAAGGTTATTATGTTCATAGACTTTTAGTAAACGCTGTAGCAATGTGGGCTTCACCTCGTTATGCTTGTTATATTTCATGATGTTAGATGAACTATATAAAGCAAAAAGATGAGTCATTGAATCCAAAGACAAAGCATACAGAAAAGAATACCGCGTTCAGTACCAAAGGAAAGGAAAAGAGTTATAGGTATATGATATATACTGAAGAATTGGAGAAAGAAGAAGATAAAGATATGGTTATGTTACATTTAGTGAGAAGAAACAACAAGAGCTTTTATGACTTAGCTAGATATATAAACTGACAGAAACTGGTTCTATCGTGAAAACTTACCGATTTCAATGACACCGAATGAGCAAATAAAGGAAATTGTCAAAAATACTCTTCCTCAAACACACTATGACATCAAAGGTTGCACAATACTTACATTCAAAGAAGACTTAACATTACTGAAGGAAAAAATAACAGAATATTTCGATAACTTCAAAGAGGAAGAATGAAGTCACGACAACATTAACGAAGAGAGAATGAGGTGAAAAAAGAGGTGAAAAAACGGGTGAGATCTCACCTCTTCACCTAAAATATATTTTTGTGCTATATTTACACTCATTTACGAAGAAGTCATGAATCCTACGTCAATTATGTTCGACACTGATAACATTAACGATAACATTAACGATAACATAAACGATAACATAAATGCTCCATGTCAATTATGTTCGACACTGATAACATTAACGATAACATAAACGATAACATAAACGATAACATAAACGATAACATTCATTTTTGCATTAATCCTGCTGTGTTGTCAAAATATCATGTTGTCATCATTTTTAAAAGAAGTTAATTAACCTGGTGACATGGTGACGTAGTGACACCATCAGTTATTCAAAAATAAATTTTCTTATAAAGCTTCAGGGTCTATTTCTTCAACCATTTCACTTCCTTCGTCAATGTCAATAGAAGCTTCTTCAACCTTTGGTAAGAATTTCTGTATAACATCTTTGTTCGCGTTTCGTTATTGTCTTCAGAGATGAAGGATAATATTTCACATTTGTTTCACCCTTCTTATATTCTTTCTGTTCGGAAAGATTTAAAGCAATACTGAAGAAGTCAATGTTAGAGTTCTTTATAACAGTATAATGAGTATCTTTGACATTCACGAAGAAACTCTTTTGTTTCAAAACTACTGCTAACTCTTGTGAAGTATAACGTTTGCGGTCAATGACGATAGCTAATGGTCTGACATACTGACCAAACTTAGATTCTTTCACAAACTTCTTGTTAAAGATAACATTAACATTTGAAGCATTATTGAACTCATTCTTGATGGCAGTAGCGAGAGCATTGTATGAAAAGAACTTGCAATCTTGCATGTGTTTCATTAAAATAAAAATATTAAATTATTTTGAAAAATAACTTAAAAAAATCTAATCTAATTTTTTCAAAAAAAAAATTTTATTTCCTACTAAAGATGTATCGGAAGTTGTCTAAGTTAGAACACTCGGAAATAAAACAACTTCTTACAGAAGCTAACATAGAAGTAGCAAAACATTACGCAACAAACAAAAAAGCACTCGCTGACTTCATTAAAGACTACAATGGTGCAATAAGTTATGATAGAATTCATGAGTTCATAAAGCCGCAACGCGGCGAGGACGAAGTCCATGCAAGAGCATTTCCTTTAAATGACGTTGCTATTGACTTATATCATAGACGTTCAGTACCTCATGAAGTAAGAAGAGAAATGTTTGACATAACAAATGCAAACGTTGGTGAAACAAGAAGAAGAGACGACACACTGAAACAACAGAGAAGAGAGATGTTTAAAAGTGCTATAGAACAAGTTCGCAAAGCTAACGATGTCCTTCGTTCCATTGACGACAAACCAAAAGAAGGTGAGAGATGGTTAAAGAAAGATGAAGAGAATAGGAAGAGAAATGTGAAGTCAGGCAATAGACTCATTGACTTTGACATCGAAGCTTTAGATGAACCAAACAGAGACTACTTACACAAACATTTCGGTAAGGTTTTCATGAGACTCTTAGAGAAGATTAAAATAAACTCCCAACAAAGATGGATGGTATGTTATAAACTTGGTGGAAAGTATGAATGTTCTACGTTAAACCTCAATAATATTGGAACATTACTACATCAGCTCTTGAAGGAGAACTTTATATCAGAGATAGAAGCAAATGCTGCAGGTATTGTTGAAATGCACTATGACTTCTTCTTGACAAACATAAAGAATCTTACTGAAATAAAGATGTATGATTTAACAGAATATGAAGGCTTAACGATGTCAGATGTAAAGAAAGGCAAACCAAAAAAGAGACCCTATAGAGATGAAAGCACACTGACAAATGACCAGAAAGCCATTTTGGAAGCTCTTAAGCAAACAGGAAACCCAGCACTTATAGAAAGCTTTTGGAAAGATAATGGTGAAAAGAAGTTTTATAAGAAGAGAAGCGGTCAGTTCTGGAAGTATCTTTGCACATTACCTATAAATCTTGAGCGCTACCAAATCTTCAATGAATTGAACAAAAGAACTGCAGCACTTATGACAGAAGACAATTGTTTCGTTTATGCTTGCATTCAGGCTGGAGTAAATGAAGAAACTATTGACCACATGAGAGAAGTCATTCGTGTTAGAGACTTTCCTCAAAGTAAAGTACAAGAAATTTCTGACGCAACAGGTATAGCATTTAATGTTACCATTGGTTACTTCAATGACTCAAGACATAATGAAATAAAGAGATACATACCAAAAGAATGTGAAACTGTTAGAACTATTGACTTACTTCTTGTTGAAGACCACTACATGCTAAATGAAAGATTACCAATGGCAACATATTTCGTTCGCAACTATATAGAAATTCTCAAAGCTTGTGGTGGAATGAACATTGAGAAACAAATGAAGATTTATACAAAGAGAGAAGATAAATATGTAGTTCGTTATGATAGAACAACACCGTTATGGGATGTTATGAAAACATTGTGGGAGTGCAAATATTTCGAACCTATTTCTTATGGAGAACTTTTCACATATACGACTGACTTATATAAACAGAACCTTGCACCATTTAAAGATTTGACATATGCTCCAAAGTATTGTGTACAACTGAAGAAGAAAGCCGAGTCAAAAGAAGTAAATAAAAATAAGTGCAAGTTCATTCCTGAGCACGTTTTCTTTGCTGACTTTGAGTGCAGTACTCTTATATACGAAAAAAAGAGATCTGACATTGTGTCAGATCTCAGTAAAAGTGACATTTACATGTCAAAAAAATAGAATGAGTTTAAGTAATTAAAATTGAGGGTGAGAGTAGTATTGTATGAAATAATATCTCTCACCCTCCAATTCATCCTATGGCGCCGAAAAAATTTTGGTGAAATGCGACCACATTTCACCAAAATTTCTCGGCGCCATATAGAGAACTAGAGCCTGTGAGGTACTGATACTATCCATGTACCTCGCAGGCTCTAGTTCCAAGCCAAAATGGCTAAAAATTGCCCGCAATTGTTCACATTGCGGGCAATTTTTAGCCATTTTGGCTGGGAATTGGAGGGTGAGAGTAGTATTGTATGAAATAATATCTCTCACCCTCCAATTCATCCTATGGCGCCGAAAAAATTTTGGTGAAATGCGACCACATTTCACCAAAATTTCTCGCGCCATATAGAGAACTAGAGCCTGTGAGGTACTGATACTATCCATGTACCTCGCAGGCTCTAGTTCCAAGCCAAAATGGCTAAAAATTGCCCGCAATTGTTCACATTGCGGGCAATTTTTAGCCATTTTGGCTGGGAATTGGAGGGTGAGAGTAGTATTGTATGAAATAATATCTCTCACCCTCCAATTCATCCTATGGCGCCGAAAAAATTTTGGTGAAATGCGACCACATTTCACCAAAATTTCTCGGCGCCATATAGAGAACTAGAGCCTGTGAGGTACTGATACTATCCATGTACCTCGCAGGCTCTAGTTCCAAGCCAAAATGGCTAAAAATTGCCCGCAATTGTTCACATTGCGGGCAATTTTTAGCCATTTTGGCTGGGAATTGGAGGGTGAGAGTAGTATTGTATGAAATAATATCTCTCACCCTCCAATTCATCCTATGGCGCCGAAAAAATTTTGGTGAAATGCGACCACATTTCACCAAAATTTCTCGGCGCCATATAGAGAACTAGAGCCTGTGAGGTACTGATACTATCCATGTACCTCGCAGGCTCTAGTTCCAAGCCAAAATGGCTAAAAATTGCCCGCAATTGTTCACATTGCGGGCAATTTTTAGCCATTTTGGCTGGGAATTGGAGGGTGAGAGTAGTATTGTATGAAATAATATCTCTCACCCTCCAATTCATCCTATGGCGCCGAAAAAATTTTGGTGAAATGCGACCACATTTCACCAAAATTTCTCGGCGCCATATAGAGAACTAGAGCCTGTGAGGTACTGATACTATCCATGTACCTCGCAGGCTCTAGTTCCAAGCCAAAATGGCTAAAAATTGCCCGCAATTGTTCACATTCCCATCTTTTGTTGGTAAGACGAAGAATATGAAATAAATTATGAAGAAGATAATGATGAATAAAATATCACTTTTTATATTTTTGACACGTAAAGTTGTCACTTTTCTGTCAAACCGTTTTTATCGTTTTCGTATATAACAGTACCGATGGCTTTCATAAAGCTTTTAACATATGTTATGACAGTGAAGATGGTTCAGTGAGTGAAAGCATATGGGGTCAGAACTGTGCAACAGAATTTTTGGAACGACTTCCTGACAAGAGTTTAATATATTTCCATAACCTCAGTTATGATATAAACTTCATCTTAAGACACATGACAGAAGTGAAAGGAACTCCCATCATTAAAGGTTCACGAACAATGCAAATAACTGGCTTATATAAAGGAAGGGCAATTATTATAAAAGACTCTTACAGTGTTATAAATAAGAAACTTAAACTATTTCCTGCTATGTTTAACTTACAAACAGGACCGAAAGAAGTATTTCCATACAACTACTACAGCAGTGTTTTGTTAGCAAATGACAACAGAACTGCTGTCATTTCTGAAGCATGTAAGTTTATCCGGGATGCGGATACGTTCATGAAAAACATAGATTCCATCAAAGGTTGCAGAATAGATGAAAACCACTTCGACTTAGAAAAGTATAGCACATTTTATTGCAAACAAGATGTAAGAATTTTAAGAGAAGGTTTTGTTAAGTTCCGCAATGACATATTGAAAGAGTTTGATTTAAACGTATATGACTACGTTAGTATTTGTTCTATTGCTAACAAATTGTTTGAGAACAGAGTGTACTTCCCGAATGGAAATTTATATGACCTCTCAAATAAACCAAGAGAATTTATTTCACGCTGTATTCAAGGTGGAAGATGTATGCTGTCAGATAACATGAAACAAAAGAGCGAAAAGAAACTCATTGCTGACTTCGACGCTGTTTCATTATATCCATCAGCTATAGCAAGACTTTATACTTTAGAAGGTATTCCAAAGGTTATGAAGAAAGAAATGTTAAGCACAGAGTATCTCATGAGACATTTATTCGATGACGACCAAAAGGAACCCATTGGTGAAAAGTTTATGTCTGGCTTCTTTGTTCTCATTAAGATAACAGAGATTGGAATACATAGACACTTTCCTTTAATAGTTTGTGACCCTGAACTAAATCCAGAACTTAACGTTCCCAGAAGTTCAAACACTTGCTGTCTCATGTATGTTGACCATATAACATTACAAGACCTCATAAAATATCAAGGTGTCAAATGTGAAGTGTTGCAAGGATACTACTACGATGGAAACAGAGATATTAGAATAAGAGATGAAGTAAAGAAGTTGTTTGAGTTAAGGTTAAAGTATAAGAAAGAAGGAAATCCTTTGCAAGAAAATATAAAGCTCATTCTGAACAGTATTTATGGCAAAACTATTCTATCTCCTATTGAGTCAAAAATAACCATAGTAAATGACAAAGATGCTATAAGATATGCCATCAGAAACTACAACCATATAGTGAAGTTCGAAGGTTTGGATGGTTCAGATAAAACTATTTTCAAGCTAACGAAAAGCATTTGCAGACACTTTAACTTCTGTCCACTTGGTGTTAACATTCTGTCTATGTCGAAGAGAATAATGTGTGAAGTATTCTGTACTGCTGAGGACTTAGGAATGGACATCTTTTATAGCGATACGGACAGTATGCATCTCTACAATGAAGATATCCCTCGTTTAGCTGAAGAGTTTGAGAAACGTTATGGAAGAGTTCTCATTGGTAAAAACCTTGGTCAATTTCATAGCGACTTTGCAGAAATCACACCTGGAAAACAAAGTTTAGCATACAAGTCAATATTTTGTGGAAAGAAGACTTACATAGACTTACTCACGAATGATTTAAATGAAGTTGCATTTCACTGCAGAATGAAAGGCGTGAAGCAAGATGTTATTGCTTTAACCACTAATGAAATGTTTCCTGACTCTGTTCAGTGTTTCTATGATGAAGATAAAGGTTTAATGGTTCCGCAAGGAACATATGACAAAGACTCTGAGTTCAGTTTAATGAAACTTTACAAAGCACTTTATGACGGTCAAGAGATTGGATTTGACTTATGTAAGTCATGTCAACCTTGCTTTGAAGAGAAGTTTAACTTCTCAATAACGACTAAAACAAGCTTTATTCGTAAGTTGAAGTTCTGAGGTCATTTATTTTTGTCAGCAATGAGGTCATTCGTGATAAAAATGTCATAAGACGAAATGGCGGAAGTGAGGTGAAGTCAAAAAGTGACATATATTTGGCCGGCTAAATTTCCCTTTAGTTTACATGTCAAAATTACAATAAATTAATTATTTTGCTTAGCAATTAGCTATGTATTAAAACTAAAATTATTACTATTCAATTCTTTACATTCAAATATTAAACAATTCAAATTTAATAACAAAGATATTACAATAAATAAAAAAAATGATTAAAAATGTCCCTGAAAATTTTCGGAAAGCTATCTCGTGTTTAGGTCTCAATTTTTTTTAGAAATAGAAAAAGATTGAGTGGGGGACAAACTCGCCCATTGTCACTTTTTCATTAACCTTAAACTTGTAATTTTCATTATTTTTAATTAACCTTATTTCTTTCCCAATTCCTGATTTATTTTATTCACTTACTATTAAAAGTCACATTTTAATAAAATATAATAATTTATTTATAGCATTTTTTACTATACTGTAATAAAAAATTAATTATAATAAATTAAATGTTTATTAAATCAAATGTTTTCTTTGCAATAATATTTTTAATGAGAAAGGGACAAACTATCCAGTGTCACTTTTCAAAGGAATAAAAAAATAATAAAGATGAAATAATAACATGAAATCTTATATAAATATAATTTTATCTAAATAGATAAATGAATTAAGCAGTTTACAGTTATATATATTTAATGAGAGACAATATCTAGTTCTATGGTAGAAATGACTCTTAGACTCAAATAAGTAACACAGATAGAAAGTACTCAGTATAACAATTATATATGTACACTCAAAGTTAGTCGCTGCTAAAATCTTAACCTTGCATTTCGGGAAAATCTGACAAATGGCTCTTAGACTCAAATAAGTAACACAGATAGAAAGTACTCAGTATAACAATTATATATGTACACTCAAAGTTAGTCGCTGCTAAAATCTTAACCTTGCATTTCGGGAAAATCTGACAAATGGCTCTTAGACTCAAATAAGTAACACAGATAGAAAGTACTCAGTATAACAATTATATATGTACACTCAAAGTTAGTCGCTGCTAAAATCTTAACCTTGCATTTCGGGAAAATCTGACAAATGGCTCTTAGACTCAAATAAGTAACACAGATAGAAAGTACTCAGTATAACAATTATATATGTACACTCAAAGTTAGTCGCTGCTAAAATCTTAACCTTGCATTTCGGGAAAATCTGACAAATGGCTCTTAGACTCAAATAAGTAACACAGATAGAAAGTACTCAGTATAACAATTATATATGTACACTCAAAGTTAGTCGCTGCTAAAATCTTAACCTTGCATTTCGGGAAAATCTGACAAATGGCTCTTAGACTCAAATAAGTAACACAGATAGAAAGTACTCAGTATAACAATTATATATGTACACTCAAAGTTAGTCGCTGCTAAAATCTTAACCTTGCATTTCGGGAAAATCTGACAAATGGCTCTTAGACTCAAATAAGTAACACAGATAGAAAGTACTCAGTATAACAATTATATATGTACACTCAAAGTTAGTCGCTGCTAAAATCTTAACCTTGCATTTCGGGAAAATCTGACAAATGGCTCTTAGACTCAAATAAGTAACACAGATAGAAAGTACTCAGTATAACAATTATATATGTACACTCAAAGTTAGTCGCTGCTAAAATCTTAACCTTGCATTTCGGGAAAATCTGACAAATGGCTCTTAGACTCAAATAAGTAACACAGATAGAAAGTACTCAGTATAACAATTATATATGTACACTCAAAGTTAGTCGCTGCTAAAATCTTAACCTTGCATTTCGGGAAAATCTGACAAATGGCTCTTAGACTTGTTTTGATAATTAATTCTTCAATTATATTATAATTTATAACAAATTTCCTCAAACTATCTGTATGTCATTCAATTCCCGGCCACTACATTCAATGATGGACCATTTCCTTCAAATTTTGAAATACCTTATTCAATTTGTTGTATGGAGCCCGTGATATTCAACACTATGGAGCTCCTCCAGTTTGGTATCCAAGAAGAGATAAAAGCTAGCATGGGCTACTCTCAAAAATGCTTGAAGCAATATATTCAAGTTTGCAACAAGGATCAATAGATTCAAATCTTGTTTATTGTACTTTAAAGGTACTTTTAAAAAAGAAACAATTAATGTAAAAGATTCAAATAATTTTTTATTATTATTTTATTAATTTTTTAAAATAAGGTTAATAAAAAAGTGACACTGGATAGTTTGTCCCACACTCATTTTTAATGTTGAGTAAACAATGTTGGGATCAAGTGTATCATTTTTCAGACCTTTCTGAACAGCTTCAAGCATACTGATGCATTCGACTTTTTTAAATTGTGTCATTTCTTCGAAATCTCTTGTGACTTTTTTGATAACTTTAACACTTCTCTCTGAATCCAGACCTTTAATTTGCAACTTAATCAGGAATGAAGGAACAACACTGGAATATAACTCGATGACAAGTTCATCGAGTCGAAGATTTTGCCTTTCTGGGAAGTACTGGTGCTTCAAAACCTTGAAATGTGATTCCGAGATGTTGTTTGTTCATCTCCTTCATTTCTATAGCGAAGCATCCACCTGTCAAGATGATGGCGCCACTGTCGGTCAAAGTATTCACGGGCAGCAGGTTCCTCATTTAAAATTTCTTCTAAATTGTTGTAAACTTCATCAGGATCAATTTCTTCCTCTTCAGAACCAAAGACCAATAACTTCATTAAGTTATAGAAAGTTTCGAAGTTGGAACGATCTTGAAACTTTTCAGCCTTTCTCATGACAGCGCGCAACACATGAACGCCACACCAAATGATCTGGCATAAGGGGATGGCTGTTTCAACAGCATTTGTGATTTGAGGTGCGCAGTCCATTGAAAAATAAGATGGTTCGCGATTGATGGAGCCAAAATATGCTGTGAGACAAACTTGTATATTTTCACTTGTGTCGGGCCAAACGAAAAAATACAAAAACGGAAAAACAATTGATTCCGCGAATTTGCCAGTGACGGCATAAAATGGTATGCGAGAGCGCAAGAGCTTATAAGTGGAATCAATGTGATAAGTTTGTATTTGATGTGAAAAAGCATTTGCTTCGAATGGGGCGTAATAGAAAATCATACGATCTGGCTCGTGAATAAACTCGATGAGATCATCCGGAGAATGACTCTTAACCATGTCGACAAAAATTGCAAGAGATGTAACATCATCCGCTGAGAAACGGGTATTGATTGCATGAAGGCGTTTAGAAAACTTTTTTAAAGCATCTGTAGATTGTTGAAACATTTCCGGAATGATCCCACTATCAAATGGGATATTAAGATCTTTGAAACACCTTAATTGTGCGTAAACACGGTCTTGATTTGATTCAAAATATCTTGTTAAATAAGATCTAGAAAAATATGATGTAATTTGTTGTGATTTGTTTGGAAAAGAGGCAGAATGATTGTGGGTGTTAATACATTTTCGTATGTGGTACTTGTCATCGGGAAGTGTATCAACAAGGAAGCGACATGGACAATTCGGCCACTTACAATTAAATTGGATTTGATTTCTTTCTTTCCTAGTTTTATATGAATAACTACAACCTGCTTGGATTTCTTGTTGCACTCCATACTTAAGCAACTCGATACATGTGAGTTCGTGATCTTGGATCTGCATTAAAATGAAATGATTTGAAAGAATAAAGAATTTTGAATATATTGGTCTTATTTTGATAAGCTTGGTCGTGTTTTGAATAGCTTGGCCATCTAATTCAATTATGATCTTTGAAAATTAGGTGAAATAAAACTAAACATAAATGTAAAACTAGGGATATGAAATTTTGGTTGTACGCCACTTGTATGTGCCGGATACCATTGTGTCAAATTTTTTCTGAAATTAACTTTAAAAGTACTAAGTAAGATCATGAGATATAGCAATATATGTTTAAACCAACTTATATTTTGGTTGTACACCACTTGTATGTGCCGGATACCATTGTGTCAAATTTTTTCTGAAATTAACTTTAAAAGTACTAAGTAAGATCATTTATTTTTGCATAATATAATGCCAATATGGTTTCTTTTGATTTTATTTCATTTATAAGCAAATCAGATTTACCCAAAAACTCCACTCCATAAGCGTTCATTTGCTAAATTAAAAAGTGACAATGGGCTAGTCTGTCCCTTTCTCGAAAAAGATTGGATTTAACTTTCAAACATTATATATAGTTTTGTATATGGAAGTCTTTAAATACAAGTTAATGATATGGAGTTGTATTGCGAGGAAGAGGGAATCAAAGAAATTGACGAAGTTCCAGAATTTTATTCAACAATTCTTAATCAATTAACAAAAACTATACCGAAACTTATCTTACCATCCAAATCAAATCACATTACATACGGAATAAACATTTAATCTTTTACCATTAAAATTATATTTATACGTTATTTAATTTTTTTACGTCTAAGTTGAATAGGATAATAGCCGAAGATATAAAGTAACTATAGTTTACAAGCTAAGGAACAAATCAGCATTGAAACTAAAAAATGCTGAAATATTATAATAAATTGAAGAAATACTGTGATAGAATACCTAGTTATACTAGATACTATTATAATATGAATTCATTTGTATTGAATATCGATAATAAAAAATCGATGAAATATTAAAATGAGAATAAATTAATAATGAGATTATAAATTAGAATTATTTCTGTTTTATTTAAAATAAAAACTTAGTTCTATTTAAATTCGATAAAGAAGTACGAAAAAGTTGTATTATACGTATGATGTTGCCCGATGTTTGGTAACACTATTGTAGAATATAAGCATATATGATAGAAAAGCAATATGCTTAATATCGAGTAATTCTAATTTTTTACGAAATTATTCAAATACGTTATTTTTTAAAATGAAAAGATAAGCATACCATTATGCAGTAGTTTGCGCACATATACTATGCTGATGAAAGTTGGTCTCTAATTCGAAACTTGAGTCTGTCAAATTGACGTTCAAGTATTAAAAAGTTGTATTATACGTATGATGTTGCCCGATGTTTGGTAACACTATTGTAGAATATAAGCATATATGATAGAAAAGCAATATGCTTAATATCGAGTAATTCTAATTTTTTACGAAATTATTCAAATACGTTATTTTTTAAAATGAAAAGATAAGCATACCATTATGCAGTAGTTTGCGCACATATACTATGCTGATGAAAGTTGGTCTCTAATTCGAAACTTGAGTCTGTCAAATTGACGTTCAAGTATTAAAAAGTTGTATTATACGTATGATGTTGCCCGATGTTTGGTAACACTATTGTAGAATATAAGCATATATGATAGAAAAGCAATATGCTTAATATCGAGTAATTCTAATTTTTTACGAAATTATTCAAATACGTTATTTTTTAAAATGAAAAGATAAGCATACCATTATGCAGTAGTTTGCGCACATATACTATGCTGATGAAAGTTGGTCTCTAATTCGAAACTTGAGTCTGTCAAATTGACGTTCAAGTATTAAAAAGTTGTATTATACGTATGATGTTGCCCGATGTTTGGTAACACTATTGTAGAATATAAGCATATATGATAGAAAAGCAATATGCTTAATATCGAGTAATTCTAATTTTTTACGAAATTATTCAAATACGTTATTTTTTAAAATGAAAAGATAAGCATACCATTATGCAGTAGTTTGCGCACATATACTATGCTGATGAAAGTTGGTCTCTAATTCGAAACTTGAGTCTGTCAAATTGACGTTCAAGTATTAAAAAGTTGTATTATACGTATGATGTTGCCCGATGTTTGGTAACACTATTGTAGAATATAAGCATATATGATAGAAAAGCAATATGCTTAATATCGAGTAATTCTAATTTTTTACGAAATTATTCAAATACGTTATTTTTTAAAATGAAAAGATAAGCATACCATTATGCAGTAGTTTGCGCACATATACTATGCTGATGAAAGTTGGTCTCTAATTCGAAACTTGAGTCTGTCAAATTGACGTTCAAGTATTAAAAAGTTGTATTATACGTATGATGTTGCCCGATGTTTGGTAACACTATTGTAGAATATAAGCATATATGATAGAAAAGCAATATGCTTAATATCGAGTAATTCTAATTTTTTACGAAATTATTCAAATACGTTATTTTTTAAAATGAAAAGATAAGCATACCATTATGCAGTAGTTTGCGCACATATACTATGCTGATGAAAGTTGGTCTCTAATTCGAAACTTGAGTCTGTCAAATTGACGTTCAAGTATTAAAAAGTTGTATTATACGTATGATGTTGCCCGATGTTTGGTAACACTATTGTAGAATATAAGCATATATGATAGAAAAGCAATATGCTTAATATCGAGTAATTCTAATTTTTTACGAAATTATTCAAATACGTTATTTTTTAAAATGAAAAGATAAGCATACCATTATGCAGTAGTTTGCGCACATATACTATGCTGATGAAAGTTGGTCTCTAATTCGAAACTTGAGTCTGTCAAATTGACGTTCAAGTATTAAAAAGTTGTATTATACGTATGATGTTGCCCGATGTTTGGTAACACTATTGTAGAATATAAGCATATATGATAGAAAAGCAATATGCTTAATATCGAGTAATTCTAATTTTTTACGAAATTATTCAAATACGTTATTTTTTAAAATGAAAAGATAAGCATACCATTATGCAGTAGTTTGCGCACATATACTATGCTGATGAAAGTTGGTCTCTAATTCGAAACTTGAGTCTGTCAAATTGACGTTCAAGTATTAAAAAGTTGTATTATACGTATGATGTTGCCCGATGTTTGGTAACACTATTGTAGAATATAAGCATATATGATAGAAAAGCAATATGCTTAATATCGAGTAATTCTAATTTTTTACGAAATTATTCAAATACGTTATTTTTTAAAATGAAAAGATAAGCATACCATTATGCAGTAGTTTGCGCACATATACTATGCTGATGAAAGTTGGTCTCTAATTCGAAACTTGAGTCTGTCAAATTGACGTTCAAGTATTAAAAAGTTGTATTATACGTATGATGTTGCCCGATGTTTGGTAACACTATTGTAGAATATAAGCATATATGATAGAAAAGCAATATGCTTAATATCGAGTAATTCTAATTTTTTACGAAATTATTCAAATACGTTATTTTTTAAAATGAAAAGATAAGCATACCATTATGCAGTAGTTTGCGCACATATACTATGCTGATGAAAGTTGGTCTCTAATTCGAAACTTGAGTCTGTCAAATTGACGTTCAAGTATTAAAAAGTTGTATTATACGTATGATGTTGCCCGATGTTTGGTAACACTATTGTAGAATATAAGCATATATGATAGAAAAGCAATATGCTTAATATCGAGTAATTCTAATTTTTTACGAAATTATTCAAATACGTTATTTTTTAAAATGAAAAGATAAGCATACCATTATGCAGTAGTTTGCGCACATATACTATGCTGATGAAAGTTGGTCTCTAATTCGAAACTTGAGTCTGTCAAATTGACGTTCAAGTATTAAAAAGTTGTATTATACGTATGATGTTGCCCGATGTTTGGTAACACTATTGTAGAATATAAGCATATATGATAGAAAAGCAATATGCTTAATATCGAGTAATTCTAATTTTTTACGAAATTATTCAAATACGTTATTTTTTAAAATGAAAAGATAAGCATACCATTATGCAGTAGTTTGCGCACATATACTATGCTGATGAAAGTTGGTCTCTAATTCGAAACTTGAGTCTGTCAAATTGACGTTCAAGTATTAAAAAGTTGTATTATACGTATGATGTTGCCCGATGTTTGGTAACACTATTGTAGAATATAAGCATATATGATAGAAAAGCAATATGCTTAATATCGAGTAATTCTAATTTTTTACGAAATTATTCAAATACGTTATTTTTTAAAATGAAAAGATAAGCATACCATTATGCAGTAGTTTGCGCACATATACTATGCTGATGAAAGTTGGTCTCTAATTCGAAACTTGAGTCTGTCAAATTGACGTTCAAGTATTAAAAAGTTGTATTATACGTATGATGTTGCCCGATGTTTGGTAACACTATTGTAGAATATAAGCATATATGATAGAAAAGCAA